AAAAAAAAATGATGTGCATCAAGGTCCTATTATGTTTAATGTATGTACCAAATTTGAATGAAATCCGTCCATGCATAACTGAGATCCGGGTCCAGAATGGTGAAAATGTGCGATTTCAATGCATTTTCGACCTTAAAGCGGCCGCCATTTGGCTATCGTTAATGAGATCATGAAACAAATGCACATACATATTTGTGACATGATGTACCTTGTGTGTGTGAAGTTTGAACTCGATCAATCCAAGCATGTCTCAGATACGGATCCAGAACTGAATTCTTTAAAACAAAATGGCCGCCAGTCGGCTATTTCGAACCCGATCCAAAAAAAAAAAAGACGTGCATCAAGGTCCTATTATGTTTAATGTATGTACCAAATTTAAACAAAATCTGTCCATGCATAACTGAGATCCGGGTCCGGAATGGTGAAAATGTGCGATTTTGATGCATTTTCGGCCTTAAAATGGCCGCTATTCGGCTATCGTTAATCGGATCATGAAAAAAATGCATGTGCATATGTCCCATATAATGTGTGATGTATGAGTGAAGTTTGAACTTAATCGGTCCATGCATGTTCGAGATACAGGTGATCACGGACGCACGGACGCACGGATGCACGGACGCACGGACGCACGGACGGACGGACGCACACAGGGCAAACCATAAGTCCCCGTTTTCGGACTACGTCCGAACGGGGACTAAAAAGGGTGGAAGATGTCCAGTCTGCATCACTGAGGTAGAGACGTACCCCCTGACTCAGTTTGACGGCGAAAATACACGTGTCTAAGACCACGTCTCGTTGCACAGTAGTAGCCCCGGCCAAGAGAGCCATGTGACACTAGGGATGTGGCACGTAGATGTGCGGTGGCCCAACAGTAAATGTGTCGCCTGGTCTAGGAGGCTGGTGCGTTCTGCCTCTGAGGGCTCAGAGTCCTGGGCATGCACAATAATGCGCTCAAGCAAATCTGCCCTCAGGACGTGATGGATCGTCTCAGACTGAGCTGGCGAGAAGGCCCATGGAATTCGGCCATCAT